TAGCGCTGCTTGGAGGCGTCGTAGGGTGATTTCTGCGCTCTTGTCGGAAGTGAGCTGCACGTCGAATCCTGCTCACTGGGCTTGCCGACGTCCGAAAAACTTGTCAAGGGCGCCCTCTGTTAAGCGGGGGGGGGTCTCTGTTCAGAATGTTCGCAAAGTTTTTTCGCTTCTTTCTCTATTGAGGGCTACTGGCTGAGCACCTACAACGCGTAACACTTGATCGCATGAATTGTCTTCAGGAGACTTCGATCTGGGAGACAAACCCCATCGAGGTAGACATTCTGCCTTAAGTTTGGACCGACTGTGTTCCTTAATTGAAAACAATTCGTACGAGCCAACATGCTGATTAGCCACTACACCTGCCCGTCCCAAAATACAAATGGCAGAGGACCCACATCCTCAAAAATATAAAAGTCGGCCAAAACTTTTCTCATGAGTTGACCGATACTCAAGTAGGAGCGCATGTGGGTACAGTCTAAAACTTCTCTTTCGTTCAGCCATACGGACTCATTAAAAGATCGTAACTGGATATGAAGAAGGTGTCTCCAATTGAACCGTTTTCGGAAGCCGCCGTTGCTGGATCCTCCAGAGATAGACGTGCAAGACGGTAGACATTCATGGGTTTACCGCAGGGAACTACATCCCCTAAAGGATTTGGTTACCAGGGAGTCCTACTGTAATCAGCTACAAAAGGAGGACAAAAAGCCCCAATCTTTGGGCCCACAACCAGAAATAAATTTTTCACAACTCAGGGACACAGGCTTCGGAAAGGACACTGATCAGGTGATCAACCTTAGCTGGGTGAATTTTACCACGTGGCTCCCACTTGGCTCCTTCTGACTGCCATTTCACCCAATCCCTCGATGACCACCTTCTGGGTAAAAAAGTACGACTTCAGAGGCACTTCAAAAATGACTGCCTTTCTCAACACGGAACCAAAAACCTTCTAGAAGTGAGCCAACCATCCTCTGCATGGTTGTTTACAAAAATTGGCCGGAGATGACACATATTTTCTATTTATTTTTTCTGCTCATTTATGGGTGCATGTCAATCAATAAATATATTGTTGGTCAATATTGCCTCTTATTCGAACGAACTTGACTACAGGAAAGTCTGAGCCGATCATGTGAGGAAAACAACGAAAAGACCCACTTGACCAACTTCTCGGCTACTTCAGGGTGCGTGAAAGTAACGAATCCAAAACCTCGGAATGGCTTTGGAATGAATGAATCAGTCACCTAAAATAGCATCAGATGTATTTCCTTGGCTTTTTTGACTTATACGTGCAGTACATGTAATAAACGCACCGATGCAGATTCTACAATCTCTTTCGCTTCTTTCTCGAAGAATTCGCGCAGCATTTTTTCAGTGATTTTCTCCACGAGACGACCGACAAATATTTTGTTGACTAATATTTTCGAAGGACCACGACTACTAACGGGTGGAAAATCGTAGCTGTCATGCTGTACTGTAACCAACTGGAATGTTCACTGAGATGATATGCGACAACAACCTGTTGAAATTTTTGATAAGTAATACACCAGCTTCACTATTAAATTGGATCCCTCACATTATGATAAAGCTGCGAACTCGATTAAATGACAGAAAGTATCTATTTTTGGGCAGAACAGTTCGCTTTACGGAGTACGGACGCTGAAACGGACGCTTACCGCGATCGCCCGCCCACAAATGACCGACTGATGCTGGTGCTCGTATCGATTCATTTGCGAAGCACGGTGTGAAGCGAAGAGATGGATATGAAGCGGCCGCGGTGATGCATGGATGTATGAGTACATACTGCAGCCCTATTGACCGTAGCGGTTGCTGGCATGATGCCAACGGAGAACTCTTCCGGAATTGCTTCCCAAGTCGTGTAGAACAAAAGTCTTTTTGCAGGTTTTTGAAAACTTCGCTTTTCGCCATTTTCCCACTACGTAGCACCCCTGCCCCTACTTTTGGACCAAATACCAAATTCTCGTGCCTTGTGCCTTAAACAGTGTTCCAGGCAAATACTACACACACTGGCAACGAACTGCAATTTCACCGTATCGGCTCGAAGTAGTTTCTGTCATTGTAACGTATGTTCAAACAGATAAATATGTCCAGTATGTCTTAAAAAACGTCCAATTTGAAGCGCCATGGTATAGAAGATAATTTTTTATTAATGGTTTTCACCTTATGAATGTATGTATAAAGCACTTCTCTAAACATGAAAGGCACCAACCTTTGGTTCAGGAATGCGGACCTCGCATCGCCTACCATCCAACATGTGACAAGCAAGTGCCAACACCTTGTCCTGATCTTCTACTGTGCTCATTTGCACAAAGCCGAATCCTTTTGATGTACCATCCGGCGTTCGCTTGAGCTGAACGAAGAAAAAAAATACGACATACCTTTTCCCCGTTTCATCAGAATACTTTTGACCTAGACACTTTGAAATTTTTTCTCTACACTCTCAAATCCTTATAGAAGCTGCGAACCCACACGTTCTTTTATTGACCCAGCGTGAACCTGCATACAACATGGGTCCAATATTTTTTTATGTTGTGATGTGGAAAATTTCCAAATAAGCGAAGGGTTCCCGATATCCCCATAACCGTCTATAACGTTTTAGCCTCCCACTGTGTTTGGTATGCTCACACACAACAGCCATCTGTGAATTCACTGGGGATCTCTCTCTACTACTATCGTGCTAATGGAGGTTGACTGATTGGAAGAAGCAGTTGTTCATTGTTGTAAAAATCTAAATGAACTTCTTGCAAAAACTGTCAAAAAGAATATAGCCTCAGTCTGACAGGTACACCGCTAAAACTAAAAAACCCCCTACCACATTAGGGCAAAACATTAAAGGCACAAAGAACCACAATCATAATTCACACTCACCTCTGCAAACGAGACGGGGCCGAATGTTTCGAAGTACTTTTTGAATCCTTCATCAGTAGTCTTGTAATTCACGCCCAGCACGATGAGATCAACGGGT